CCCGGGCGCGCTCCGCGCGCCCGGGGAGCCCCGGGACGCGGCGAGGGAAGCCCGGCCTTCACCCAAGCAGCCCGCGGCATGCTCGAAGTTTCTGCTCGTGCAGCTCTGTTGGCGCCTCCTCCTCCTCCTCCTCCTCCTCCTCCTCCTCCTCCTCCTCCTCCTCCTCCACGCGTTCATGATCTTCATGCTCTGAGCGTGGTCCGCCGCCTCCGGCTCCTGCTCCACGCGCCCGCGCTCATCCCCGTCTTGCCGTGCCCAAGTAAGCTCGTAGCGTCCCTCGGCTGTCTTCGACCGCGGCGTGGATCCGCGCCGCTGAGACCCGCAAATCGTCCCTGTTCCCGCCCGACCTGCGGCGCTCCAGCGGGCCACGGCGGATGCGGCCCCACCCCACCGCCCGCGCCGGTCCATGCAGCGACTGCGCGCCGCCTGCGGCGTGCATCTGGCGAGGGCGCAGGCGGCCGTCAGGCGCGGCGGGGTCGGTGCGTGTCCCCTGCCCCAGCGGAGCCCCAGCGAGCACCTTGGCCCGACCTTGGCACCCTCGTCAGGGGAACAAGCCATGACATAAACATTCAAATTCTGAGGTCCGCGCGGACTTCTCCGATCGGCGCTGGACCCCCCTCCCTGGTGCGCGCAGCGAGCCAGAGCTGGCGCCGGAGGCGCTGCCAGGAGTCCCCAGCGCCGATCCGAGGAGGTCGTGCGGGCCTCCGAGTTTATATGTTCATGTCATTGTTTGTCCCCCTACCTCGGTTGGTGCCGAGGAAGAGAAGGGCTGGTGATGGCGATGGGCACATGGCGGCAGTGGTGGCGGTGTGGCGAAGCCGCGGCGATGTGGGTTCGTGGCTGTTTCCCCTGACCTCCGATGGCTTGTCATTTCAACGCGAAAGTTCCAGAGGTCTCGATACACCCCCCTCGACCACTTCCCCAGGGGAAGTCTTGCGTCCGGGATCTGTTGTTGATACATCTGGAGCCCGAAGACGGCCCCCAGAACCCGAAATAATTGATAACACCAGGGTTGAATGAATAAAGCAATGAGCCAGAGGCGTGGGTCTCTGATCCCTTCAGCGGGCAAGAGAGCTTGCTTCCGCTGCTCCAAGCGAACCATTGTGAGCGCAGGCCTGCCCAGGGCGCGTTGTAGCTGAGTCCCTGCACGCAGCGGGGGGATCCTCCCGAGTATGTGAGGCAAGAAATAGTTTGAAGAGTCACACTACGGCTTTTTCTTGTTGAGGATGCGAGGAGTGAGGAGTGTTGGGAGGAGGGAGAGGAGGATAGAGCGGGGGAGAGGAGCGGACGGGGAGGGCGGAGGATGAACCAAAGTGGAGGATTGGGGAGGCGGCCAGTCACCAGAGTCGCGAGCAAGGACCAGCATTTTCCCGCAATCTACGGGTGCAAACATATTTTCGAAGGCGGGGAAGGAGAAGGAGAAGGCGAAGGAGAAGGAGAAGAACAATGAGAAGGACAAGGCTGCGAAGAGGGAGGATGAGTATGAGCGAGAGGGGGAAGCAGGAAGGCAGGAGGAGGAGGAGGAGGAGGAGAAGGAGGAGAAGGCAGGGGGCGTACATGGGGGCGTCAAGGGGAGTCAAGCTCGGGGCGGGGGGAGGCGGAACGCGGGAGGATGAGGGAGGAGAAGGAAAAGGAAACGGAGGAGGAGGAGGAGGAGGAGGAGGAGGGACAATGATGGGGAGGAGGGATGAGAAGGAGAAGGAGGAGGAGGAGGAGGAGGAGGAGGAGGTGGAGAGCTCTAAGCGCTCTGATGATACGAATCGCCTCAACGGTCCCTCGCCGCGCGTGTCCCAACGCGGAGGGGGTGGGGGGGGGAGAACCACGCTCGCACCAGGCACGCGCCAACGAAGGAGGACCCCGAAACCCATTCGGAAGCCCAGCAGGCCCAACAGGAACATCCCAAACAGGGCTCTAGTAGGCCTCCCAGCGCCATGCCCCGACGGGCCAGCCAGGCGCGCCTCCAAAGGGCTCCTATTGGCCCCTTGGGAAAACACTTTTTTGGTCGCGGCCGCGAGCGAAGAGCGCAGGCGGCGAAAGCAGTTGTCCGGGGCTGCGAACATGGCTAATTAGCTACAAGACGCGCCGCAAGCCGGCCGGCCCACTCACCAAGCAGCTGCGGGGCTGTGCGGGAGGCTGACAGCTGGGGGCATCCAGGGAAGCTCAGGCACGTGCAGTCTGACAAAATGCTGAGAAATTCGGTGCATGCCGTGAGGCAAAACCCACACAGACGACGTCGACGTGCACTGGTGCCCCTTGGGAAAACACACACCCACAAAAAATACCTTGCGACGTACCCAACCCTTTTGTATACACGTGGCGTTTATATTCAGGACCACTCAATGCTGACTGGCATTCTGAAGGACCCACAGTGCGCAAGAAGAGCACTCAGGAGTGAAATCCGAAGAGAGCATCAAGAGGAGAAACAGCAAACATACAACATGGAAGCACAAGGGCGTTGAAAGAAACACAAAGCGGGGGGCGGCGAGGGCTAAACCAGAACATCGGTCGAACTCAGCAACGCGCTGCGCTGAAAGAGGCAAATGCATGAGGTGCATAACGAGGGCGGAGACTCACCCAAAAGTGGAGACAAAAGGGCGCGGCGGCGAACCCAAAGAAAAGAACCCAAAAGTGGAAGCAACAGGTCGCGGCCTCGAGGATAAGCAGGAGCACCCAGTCACCGCGTGGGAGTTACCTCCGCTAGGCCGCCCAGGAGCCCACAAAAGTGGCGACAGTTGCGCAGATCGCAAGCCCCCCAGGGGGCGGCGAGGTACCGAGGTGATCCGCGTGGGACGTACCTCCGCTGGGCCTCCCAGGAGCCCACGAAAGTGGCGACAGTTGCGCAGATCGCAAGCCCCTCAAGGGGCGGCGAGGTACCGAGGTGGTCCGCGTGGGACGTACCTCCGCTGGGCCTCCCAGGAGCCCACGAAAGTGGCGACAGTTGCGCAGATCGCAAGCCCCTCAAGGGGCGGCGAGGTACCGAGGTGATCCGCGTGGGACGTACCTCCGCTGGGCCTCCCAGGAACCTACGAAAGTGGCGACAGTTGCGCAGATCGCAAGCCCCCCAGGGGGCGGCGAGGTACCGAGGTGATCCGCGTGGGACGTGCGGGAAAGCCCGTGGACCTATCGACGTCGCTCGAAAGAGGCCAGAGCAGACGGGGCCGGGGGAGCATCGCGCCGCGTCGCCGACGGGGTCGGCGGCGATGGGCGGGAGCATGCCGATGCATGCTCCGCAGCGTGGCGGTCGACGCATCGACGACGCGGCGCGCTCCTCCGACCCCGGGCACGCTGGTTCGATTCGGGCGGCCTACCTCCTTGACGATCTGCAGCTTGTCGGCGTGTTGCTGGCATATGCACTGCATCCAGCGCTTCATCAGCGCCAGTGCTCCGCCTCGTTCACCATGGTGCCAGTGAGGACGGTCTGGCCACCTGCGAGAGCCTCGATGATGCCGTTGTTCTGCAGGTACCCGAAATGCCGATGGGACGCCGCGGCCTGCAAGACGTCTAAGGCCGTCGTTCCTTTCGCGTCCTTCCGCATCATCTCCTCCGGATACTTCTGCGCGACCCGCTTGAGCTCGCCGACGCACCCCGTGCGAGAGTCGAAAGGGCGGAGAGCAGGAACTGCGACAACTCTGCAGCGGATATCTCCTCAGCGGGCGGCGCATCTCTCCATGCGTAGCTGGCGGCACCTCCCCCGCGGTAAACGGAAGCCAGCAATGCAGGGGCCGCTCCCTCGCAGGCGCTGTCGAGGAACGTCTCCTGGATGTTCATGGCCTCGCGTGCGTACGCCGTGCGCCGACCGTTGAGGCAGTGCTCCACGCGGAATACCAAGTGCATGATGTCCTCTGCGCAGGCTGCGCCGTTCGGCAGCGCTTCCAGAAGCAGCTCGGAGGGCGAGTCCGCATAGACGAAGCGGACCTGGTTGATCATGCCGGGAGAAAATGATTCGCGCAAGGCAGCTGCGAAACACTCTGGGCCCTCGCTGCGCTGGAGCGAAAATCCTGGGCATGCGCCTGTGACGCCCAAGAGTGCGTGCGCTTTCCGGATCACTTGCGCCTGCTGCAAAGCGCTTCCCGCGCCTGTCGCGGGTGCCCTGTCTTCTCTTGCCCGACGATCGACAGGCATCATGTGCATGTCGCATCGTGACCGATTGCGACCCACTCCCCGCGAGCAGTTGCACGGCTCTTGAGATCTCGGAAAGTGTTCTGCATTATGCCATCATTGCGCGTGGAGGCGTGGTGCATGCATTCGCGCAGGGGCGCCTGATAATGGCAGAACAAGAAGGGCAGGCCGCGCGGGTCGGATGCCCACCGCGCACGCAATTCGTCGATCATAGGCCCCATCTGCCCTCGGCAACGCAGGGCGAGCGAAAGGTCCTCGAACTCGTCGGTGATGTAAAGTTTCTCGCTCAGCCTGTTCGCCTTCCCCGCCAAACTGCGCAGCAAGTATTCGGGCCCAGTGGCGGTCCACGAGAGGACAACTGGCACTTGGTTACTGCGCTGGAGAGCCCGCACCTCCTCTTCCGAGGCCGCTTTGTTCCACTCCCGGATGCGTTTCGCGCTGACCTCGCGCATTTTGCCCACTGGCGCCTCCTGTCCAATGACACTGGCCGCCGCGCGCTGCCTGTGCAGCGCATGTGCCAGGCGATGCTGGGGGAACGTCTTCGTCTTCTCGGCAGACGCCGAAGCGAGGAAGAATGGCGGGTTGTTGTACTTCATGTGCTCCACCAGCTGGCGTTTGGTATTGAAAGCACGGTACGGGCAGAGTTTGCACTGCAGCATGTCATCTGGACGGCAACCTCCGCGCTCCCTCAGCTACTCTCTGTGCGAGCACCTTTCTGCCGCGAGAGCCGCCCCGAACTCGTCCTGTGCCGCCGTCGCTGTCGAGGGAGGCGGGCTATCAAGGTGTAACCCGAGCTCGGCTCTTGCTTGGCGACCGAGGAGGCAAGCCCAGCCCTTTGAGCCACCGTCGAAGAAAAGGTAAACACAACGACTACGGCCATTGCGTGGCTTGTGGTCAGGGTAATGGCTAGGGGGAGGGGGGAAGGATGGAAGAAGTGATGGAGGGGGGATTGGGCCACCCGCGTTCCTAACGATTGCGTGACAATCCTATTCCCCAGAGCCTGTGAAAGCCTGCAAGGAAGACCACGAGAGCTCCTGAGGAAGCATAGGATCCCCAAGATACAAACGGTTCAAGATACAACCAACTCAAAATACAAATGACTCAAAAGCAATATACAACTAGTTCCAGATACACGCGAGTAAAGGTACAGAAACTTCAGAATAGCAGGGCACATGGAACAAATGATTAAGGATACAAGCGACGGCGCAAACGACACCGACGCAAACGATGCCGACGAGTGCGGATAAGTAAAATGGTGAAGGATGCGTGTGCTTACGGGGGGGGGGCACGCTTCCGGAGGAACGAGGGGGGGGGAAATTTCCACAGTAAAGCGGCGGTGGATCACGCGCTCTCATTGTCTATGTGTATTTATATGAGTAGGAGTACATGCGTATACCTATATATATAACTGCATATAGAGATATGTATATGTGAATCGGAGGTTGGGATGCGACACCGAAATGACATGTGACGTGCCCCAACGAGGAAATCATTTCGTTCGTGTCATGCGTGGCGTGCGTGCGGGTGAGGTCAGGCGAGGCAAAGCTGCGCGAGTTCTGGCACTTGTAGAGGCCAGGTCAGGCCAAAACGTCTCACCCCGTTTCTGGTCTGGGGCCCTTGGTGGTTCCTGCTTGTCTCGCTAGTTGTCCCGATGGCTATCTGATCAAATTCCCCTTGGTTATGCCGATGTTGTCCCGATCGATAGATCATGCGATCGCCAGATAAACTGATTGCGAAATCGGTACATCGATCAAGAGAGGCCCATATATCGTGCAGATGAGTGGTCGATGGGTAGTGTGATAGATAGATATATCAGGTGCGAGACCGATATGTATTGGTTGTCCAGAGGACATTGTAGCATCGACAGCTGTATTCATAGTCGTGAAGCCTCGTAGATCGATGTCTCGTAGTTGGCGTAGCACATTGACACAATATGAGACATATATATTGGAAGTTCGATGAAGAGAGAACGGTATGTAATTATATAGACAGCCAGCTTGAGCTACAATCCGTATCTGTATGTGGTCGTACAGATGACGAGGCAGGAACGTATGCTCATCACTTATGTATACCCAGAGAGCACAGACCCCTACAACACAGATTGCCAGATAGACACATACAGTAATTTAACGTAGCTACAGGCATATCTCAATCGGGAGAGGGAGGGGGGAGAGAGAGAGAGATAGAGAGACCTGGGTATACCGATATACGGGTATACGTGTATGTGCGTATATGTATGTGTATGTATTTGTGTGTATGCATATACGTGAGTGCAAGTAGATGTTCCGATATGTGCCCACTCGTGAGTTCGATTGTGCGCTTAATTCTCGGCCAACGTGATGTTACAGCTACACCACAGCCAACTCCTTATCAACCGAAGGGTGGTCTATGTAGTGTAGATCCCCCTGTCTCGTTCTCCTCCTCTCTCTCGCTCTCTTTTTATTGTGCCCGGGTCAGGGCGGCCTTCGCAGAATATGTCACGGCACATCTACGCGTTCTTGTTTGGCGCAGGGATTGCGCAGAATCGAGCAGAGGCACTAGCACCATTAGGTTGGCATGGTATACGACGTCGTTCAGTGTAGAAGCAGACCGATGGGCACCGCTGCCTGTGCCTCATTCGCGAACGAAGCGAGGGATGCTGATGCTGATACTGATGGACATGCTGATGATGCTGATGCTGATGCTGCTGATAATGATGATAATGATGCTGCTGATGATGATGATGATGATGGTGATGGTGATGGTGATGGTGATGGTGATGATGATGCTGATCATGATGATGATGATGATGATGATGATGATGATGATGGTTGTGATGATGATGACGATGCTGCTGATGATGATAATCATCATGATGATGACGATGCTGATCCTGATGCTGATGCTGATGATGCTGATACTGATGCTCTTGACAATGAAGATGATGACAATGATGATGCTGATGCTGATGCTGATGCTCCTGCTGATGATGATGATGATGATGATGATGATGATGATGATTGTGATGGTGATGCTGATGTTGATCATGCTGATGATGATGGTGATTATGATGGTGGTGGTGATGAAGGTGATGCTGATGCTGATGATAATGATGATGATGGTGATGATGACGGTGCTGATCCTGATCATGATGCTGATGATGATGATGAGGAGGAGGAGGAGGAGGAAGAGGACGACGAGGAGGAGGATGACGACGAGGAGGATGACGTCGAGAAGGAGGAGGAGGAGGAGGAGGACGGCCGTCGCACGTGATGCCTTTCTGCGTCAGCTCTTGAGGAGCTCTCATGCAACCCATGTGGGCCGTCTTGGCGCCGTCTTGGGTCCTTCTTGGGGGGCTCTTGGGGCCCTCTTGGGCCGTCTTGGGCCGTCTTGGGGCCCTCTCAGGCCGTCGTGGGGCTCTCTTGGGCCGTCGTGGGGCCTTGGCCGCATGGGGGTTGCCTGGGAGCCGTCTTGGCGCCGTCCAGCTAAGGCCGTCTTGGGTCCCTCTGGATGCGTTTTTGAGTTGCTTCGGATGCCTCTTGGTTCATCGTTCCATCGCAGGGTCCTCTAAAGCCATCTTGGGGATCCTCTGGGGGGCCTCTTGTGCCGTCCTGGGGTCCCATCTTGCCAGCTTCTTGGGCCGTCTTGAGCTGACGGGAGCCAGAAGGTAGCGGATTTGCCACATTCTACGCAGGTCTCCGGAAAGCGAATATGTTGTATTTTGCAAGAGGTTGTGGCCTCGTGAGAGGGGGCGATGCGCGCAGGCCAGCGTGACGAGAGGTGGGGGGGTGCCTGGAAGATTTCAGAAACCTTACCAGACAGCCCTTGACATTCCAGCACGCCTCAACGTGCCAGGGGACATGGTGGCGGATTGTTGCGACTCCACTCACCTTCAACTAACCAGGGAAAAATGTGAAGCACGTTCCCAATTCTGCAGTATGCCCGATGTTGCACTATCCTAAAATGGTGGTGTGGAGGCGTTGTCGGGAAGACCTGCGAACCGTCACGTTCCAGGACATCAAGAAGGAGGCTTGCCAGTGGAAGGGTGAGCGATGCTTGAGGGGCTGATGAAGTAGGAACCCCTGATACGGATCGTGCCGGGAAGTCCTGCGGCGTACGGGCCATGTGCGAACTTGGGAGCCACGACGATACCAGGGACTTTGTTGAGGAATCCTAGCCTTCGGTCAGCGGCAATGGGAGGGTTTGGTCTACAGGTGCAGGACGCCCAAAGAGTGGGACCCTGGCTGAAAGATCAGCTGATATCCAGTGTCCTCGGGATGCTCAACGCGCCCGTTTCGGCCAGTTCCGGGGCCCCAAGGAGACCAGACACCCTCGCGCTTCCCGCGCGTTCCCTCCGAGCATCCGAGCACCGCCATTTGTCTTGAGCATTCTCTGTAGACACATCTCCTCCGACGTGGCATACATCGAACATGTATTCGCTCTTCAGCATTATCGAGACACGCGAGGCCTTTCGACGTCATTTTGGAGCGTTCCGTTTGCCTCGGAGTTGTGCCCCGCATGTGCCAGATCGTCGGTACCCCGATCCGCCCAGGCAGGCTTGCGCACCCATGGCCCTGTGGGTGGAGGGGCTCTGGGGGGTTGGCCGTGTCACCTCAGTTCAGCGACCCGATCCCTGAGGATCACCACGGGGACCGTGGAAGTGAGGATTGCTGCGCCGATGTAACACGGTGTGCTGACGAACCGAGATTACTCCGCTCGGCACTCTTGGCCCCCCAGATCCTCGTCGTGGTGCTTCTCGAAGTCCGGATGGTCCGTGCAATGCGGCTGCTTTGCGCTTGGTGCGCAGAAGTCCTAATTCCGCCCTCTCCCCTTTTCATCCCAGTCCCGGTCTTCCTCGCTTGGCCCTGTCCTCGCCTGGTTCTCAAAGGAGCGCGTATTACAGCAATAGAGAGGGTGGGGGGCAGAGGAGGCTCAGGGGTGGCGGTGGTGTGGACCTTTTGTGGGGGCACGCTCGCGGGGCATCCGGCGCGCCTGCAGCCCACGAGCTTGTAAATCTTGCACCCCTTTCCCCGACCTCCCTCCCTCATCTCGCCTGTCTCCCTCAAAGCATGGTGGTCCCAAGTTCGGGTCGGTTCGGTCCGGCTCGGAGGTGGGCCGTTTCGGATTTAAGCGTTCGGTTTCGGTCGGTGCTGTCATCGAAGTTGGGTTTGGAAGCTTGAGCGGCTCGGCCCTGCTTGGGTCGGGGCCCCTCTGCGCCCTGGGCCTCCAGCCTTGCTCCTTGCGGGTCGCTCCTCCCCGTCGCGCGCCCAGACTTGCCGGCAGGGCGGGCCGCGTGTCTTGCCCGAGGCTCCCTCGCCATTCATGGTCCTGGAGCTTGGAGCTGACAGCAGCTGCACGGGTGGGCGGGGAGGGTCAGAGTGGGGCTCTCATTTCGGCGCCGCGCCGTTCTTGTTCAAAGCCTGCAGCAAATCCCCGGATGGAGAGGTCGTTGCCGAACGGAAGTTCTCGCCTTGCTCTCAGCTATGCCAAGAAACCAATGGATGGGGATGGTCTCAGATGGGGCTCGCGCCTTAGCGCCGCGCACAGTCCAGCAGGTGGTCCCAGGAGTGGGCCTGCGGAGGCTGGGTGGCACCGGTCGGCTTCCCTCTCCCCAGGCCTCCGACGCCGTGACTTTTGCCTGGCCTTCAGACCCCTCGACCCCTTCCCAGCGGCCGCTTTCTCATCCTGGGCAGCACAGTCTAGCAGGTGGTCCCAGGAGTGGGCCTGCGGAGGCTCGGTGGCACCGGTCGGCGTCCCTCTCCCCGGGCCTCCGTCGCCGTGACTTCTGCCTGGCCCCCAGACCCCTCGACGCCTTCCCGGGGACCGCTTGCTCATCCTGGGCAGCTCTTTGGCAGTCCCTGGGCCCGCACGAGGCCTCCCGAGGCCCGACGCTTGGGGAAAAAGGTGCCCCTCCTCCTCCTCCTCCTCCTCCTCCTCCTCCTCCTCGTCTCGATCTCTCCTCGGCGCCAGAGGCTCCTGCTCGAAACCAATCCCCGGACCCCTCCCAGAGTCCATCCTGGCCACTTTCTCGAGTTACGTTCCGCGGTGGCGACGAGGAGGCCCCGCGAATGCAGAAAAAAAACGAAGGGCATGACGAAAGCGAGGAGACGGCGACGCCCCGCCGAGCGCCGCCCGCCACGACGCCAGAGCACATCAGCGAGCCCATCAAATGGAACAACGTCGTGCCAGCGTGTGTGCCACGGAGATTTGCTACTAACTACCCGGTGACCCTGGGGGCCCCAGTGGAGTCTTTACGCGCCCTGGGAAGTTCGAAGATTGCCGAAAAGTATGCCCGCTCAGTTCGCCCCGCGGCGGCTCTGGGGCGACTTCCGGACGCGCCTGCCGCTCAAGACGCAGGCTGGCGCCGCGCGCACGCGGGTGGCCAGGGGCACCGCCGCGCGGCGTGCGATGATGAGGGCAGGGGGCGGACAGGGCTAGGATGAGGATAGATCCGTTCCGGAGCGTTCCGGAACGCCCGCAGAGCGTTCCAGAACACTCTGAGAACGCCGCGCCTCCCGATACATCCTCCAGAGCCGCCCGATCTGAGAGATTCTCGATGCATCCTCGCCTGAATTCGTCCTCGTCCTGGCTTCGTCTCAGCAGGGGGCTGGCAGAGGGGGCTGTTGAATGGTCCTTCATCGGAGCCTCAGGGGGTTCCAGAGTTTCCTCGCGGATTCGGGGATTCGTCCAGATTTCGTCGGATTTGGTGGGCATCTGGACGAAATCTGGACGAAAGGGGGAAGAGTAGTGGTCGAATTCTGGTCGACACCCGGCGAAGTCGTGTTTATGGTTACGTAGGGCCCACAGAGGCTCCCAGGGAGGCTCGCCGAAGGGCTGGCGGGTCCAGACCCCCTCATTGAGAACCATGCGACGGAGGGTTCTGGACAATCGTGACCTTCTGGGGGCCCTGACCTCACCAGGCTCCTGCAGGGCCTTCGATCAAGGGCAGAAAAAACGCCCCTACCCTGGTTTACGAGGCGCTGTGCGCTGAAACTCCTGTGGGCTGACAGGGTAAACCCTGCGTGATGTGCCGCGTCCTGGCGGCTCTAGGCTTTGGGGGTTCCCTGGAGGTTTACAGACCACGCACTTGTAACCCATGGTAGGGTCGTTTTTTCATCCCTCAATTCGAGAAGGACGGCTCGGGACGAACATCTGGTCCCGGGGGGGGTCGAGACGCCCGGGGATCCGCGCCGTGCAGAAGGCACGAGGCCGGGGGCCTGCGAAGGTAGAGATGCGGAGGGGAAGAGCTTGGCATCGCTCGGACGTGTGCGTTTTTTCTTCGGCGAGGGCCATCGAGGAGCATCCTTGATCATCTCGCGAAAAAAAACACGCACGAAACCGAACAAAAACACAGGGAATGGACGTCCGAGCGATGGCCAGAGAGAGAGAGCCTGCGACCCAGGCGCCGTTTGCAAAGACCACGGCGGGCCCTTCCCTTTTCGCTCCGCTCCGGACTCCCCGTGTGGCCCTCAGGGGCCGGCCCTCCGCTCGAGAAGTGCCACGGAAGGATGGGGAAGGCCTCGTCGTGTTTTGTGCTACGCTGTCATTTGTGTTCACGACGTCGGACCTTCAGAGAGGGTGGCCTGGGGCGGCTTGCGCGGGGTCTTGCGTTTCCGTTCTCCGCCGCTTGTTCACGGTGATGTGGGCGGAGAGACAGAGAGAGAGAGAGAGAAACAGAGAGAGCGGGGCCATCGGAGTCTTTGGAGCCTACGAGCCCCTGGAGGAGGCAGGGCTGTCGGTGCGCTGGACGGAGCCCATCCAGCAGACTTCGCACGCAGGCAGCTGCAGTCACTTGTAAGGGAGCCGCGCAGCGCAATATTGATGGAGGTTACACTCGCCCGCGCGTGCGATAACAGGGGTGGCTGCGGCGTTGCGCCGTTCGAGCACGATGATACCTCATGTTGTCCAGACTGCGTGGTCGCTTGAGGGCAAGTGCCCCTCCCAGCAATGGGGATGCTAGCAGCGCAGTCTGACGGGTGGACGATGATGAAACTACCCTTGCATTGTACGAGTTGGCTTCAGGCATGTATCGTTGCGCCTACACAAGGCTTTTGTAAAGCATTGGCGCTACGATCTGAGCGGCGCCTTGTGGACACTAGATAGCCATAGCTATACCAGAGCGAGGACATTGCACAAGGGCTGCCACGGCGCTACTGGACGATCACAGCTACGCGCATGTCGCAGCAGCACCTAAATACGACTCACTCGAGGAATGCACCCATACGCGTATGGAACAGGCAGAGCTGCCTCTGCTTTGATTACGAAACAGCACACTCAGAAGATGAGTTCAAACTGTCCAGAGTATCAGGCGTTGTTAGCATTCACCGCGTGCTGACCACGTCACAGTCTCCACGGAGAGCTCGATGCCAAGATTTGATGTTTGGCCCTGTTTCTTGCAGGGTGCGTTCTAGACGCTTGGAATGGGTCGGATATCGCTTCTCACAGAGCAGCACGATTACAGAGGGACGAGTGTCTGCAGATGCGCACTCAACCTGAGAGGGGTGCAATCTCTGCATGCGAGAAATTAAACTGGAACGCTCCACGGGAAAAAGGCGCTGTTTCGTGGCATTGAAGTATCCACAAACGCACGCACGCACGCTGATTCTGTATGCACGATGCAAGGAACGTGGTCTGACATGGGAAGGGGGTCTGATTTGAGTTGTCCTGGAGGGTTATGGGGGTCTGGGCAGAAGGCCGCCCTTTCTTGACTGCTATGGGGGATCTAGAATTTGCTCGTCTGGGCGTTTTGTAACTTTCACCCTTGTCTTGGCATCGCTCGGACGTGTGCATTCTTCCTTCGGCGAGGACCATCGAGGAGCATCCTTGACCATCTGGCGGAAAAGCCACGCACGGAACCGAAAAACACACAGGGAATGGACGTCCGAGCGATGGCCAGTTGCATGAAATCTGGAGCACCGTGCGTTGGAAACCCATCGTTGAAATCCAGGCGGTATCAAACGCATGCGGGCGTACACACCACTCATGTCTCACTCTTCCAGGGGGTCGCACTTTGTAGGCCCGACCCCCTCCATGACCAATGTCGTTTAGTCATGCCAGAGGCACGAGGGAGGTAATTCCATGAAGAGCGTGTCAATGAAAGTCTGGATCCCTGATCCAGGATCGATTCCGGAGGATGTTCGGAAATGGGCGACGTGTGTTAGAACGCAAATCGGTCTGCATGCAGGTAAATGCCGTACATCTGCATACTTACGTAGTTACAGATTTGTGTCTAGGAAGGAACCTACAGGGCGGGTTATACACAAGGGGGCACGCTGCAGACAGTGCAGCCGGTTTTTGTGTTAAATGGACGTTGCCTTTTGTGAGCCAGAGCAGAACAGTTGGATAGCGAAGGGCTGCAAGGCATATGCTTTCGATATGGGATGCGCTGCACACGAACCACTGCACATGTGTTGCACTGTATTTGGCGCAAGAAGATTTCGATGCTGCGATTTCTGACGGTGCTGCCAACCTCTTATCAGGTACTTTCACAGCAGTCACGTACGGGTGTTTCTGCAGAATGTTCAAGGATTGCGTTACATCAGCGAAGATTCGTCGTGCACCATACCATGAGACGAGGAATTGCAAAATCCAGCTCCATGCGGATTTTCCACTTCAGCACGCCGCGTCGTTTCGGAATTTGGCCCCTCAGGCGACTGCGCACTGGTTTTGGGTGTCGGTTTCTACCCTTTGCACCCGTTCACCAGCTGTACCGTATCAAGCACATATGCTGGTCGTGGAACCCAACGCGCAAGCGCCACGCTCCTTCTCAGAGCCTTCCTGGAAGCTCGCCCCCCACACCCTGTCTCTCTCGGGATGCAGGTGGGCAGCATCAGCAGGGGGGGATGTTGGGGACGTGGGGAGGGCGGGAAACGCACGCCCAGCCTCGCAGAAGGGCCCGGCACACGGTCGCGATGGGGCGGGTTCTTCTGCTTGGCATCGCTCGGACGTGTGCATTCTTCCTTCGGCGAGGACCATCAAGGAGCATCCTTGATCATTTGCCAAAAAAACCACACACACACACACAAACACACACACACACAAAACCAAAAATACACAGGGCATGGACGTCCGAGCGATGGCCAGTCTGTCTGCGCGCCAGCTCGTCTGTGGCGTCGTCGGCTACAGCGTGCTCGGGACGACGGCCCTGTACACATACCTTCGCCGCAGCCAGGCGCGCTCCGTCGCTCCCCCTCCCCGCCCTCCTCCTCCTCCTCCTCCTCCTCATCCTCCTCCTCCTCCTCCTCCTCCTCCCTCCTCTCCCTCCTCCTCCCTCCTTCTCCTCCTCCTCCTCCTCCTCCTCCTCTTCCTCCTCCTCCTCCTCCTCCTCCTCCTCCTCCTCCTCCTCCTCCTCCTCCTCCTCCCCTACCCCGCGGGCGACAGGCCGAAGCCGCAGCTTGCGAGACAGAGGCAGGCGCAAGGCCTGAAAGAGAGAGGGCCGCTCCACTGGCGGAAGTCCCAGGGACGCACCAGAGCGCGAAGCCATTGCGGGCCTGGCTCCGGTGTCTGAGGAGGGTCTGGGCAGGGTGTCGGTGGGTTTCCCGCGTTCCTTCTCTCGCTGCCCCCCCCCCCCGTGCCCCTGAGGAATCCGCATTCCGAATTTGTTGGCCTGAGCCAGCATCCGACTGTCAAAGGACAGCGGGACGCTGATGGTCGGCTGGTTCGCCTATTACTCTTGCCACCGCCGCTGCCGATGTTGCTCTGCCTCGTCCTCCTGCTGCTCCTGCTGCTGCCAGGTGCCTTGGCCTTCAGCCTCTGCCTCCTGCCGTCATCCGTCAGCGTCCAGCCTTAGCATCAGCCTCAGCTTCCGCCTTTGCCTCAGCCGCAGATGTATCCTTCTCCTGTGTCTTACTCTGAGCCTCATGCCTTGCCATGGCCCTGGCACTTACCACATATGTAGCTTGG